GTGCAATAGCTAACAGTGGCAGGGGTACAAAGACCCATGACAGGACACCTCTGTGGGCTGCATATTCTCCAGAGCTCCCAATAGACTCTGCCCCATTCTAGCCCCTCCCCCTACAGTTCACACATGTTGATCCATAACAAACACTTGCCACTTGCCAGTAAGTGAATCTGGGCAAGTTGCTTTGTCTTCCTGTATAAAGGGTGTGGTGGAGGCTGTCCTGCCCACTTCACAAAGTGTCAACAAGATGTAGAAATGGTGGTGAGATTAACGCAAAATATGCTGACCGCAATATCTGCTCTTTGATCCACCAACATGTCAATATCCTTTCTTGGATTCTTGGATACGCTCACCCCTGGTTTCTTCAAATGGTGATAGCTATTCACTGTGATGATAGCATTACCGTGCACCAGTCACTGTGGTGACAGTATTACCGTGCGCCCGTCACCGTGGTGGTGACAGTATTACCGTGCGCCCGTCACCGTGGTGGTGACAGTATTACCAGTCACCGTGGTGGTGACAGTATTACCGTGCGCCAGTCACCGTGGTGGTGATAGTATTACCGTGCGCCAGTCACCGTGGTGGTGATAGTATTACCGTGCGCCAGTCGCCGTGGTGGTGATAGTATTACCGTGCGCTAGTCACTGTGGTGATAGTATTACCGTGCGCTAGTCACCGTGGCGGTGACAGTATTACCGTGCGCTAGTCACCGTGGCGGTGACAGTATTACCGTGCGCTAGTCACCGTGGCGGTGACAGTATTACCGTGCGCTAGTCACCGTGGCGGTGACAGTATTACCGTGCGCTAGTCACCGTGGCGGTGACAGTATTACCGTGCGCTAGTCACCGTGGCGGTGACAGTATTACCGTGCGCTAGTCACCGTGGCGGTGACAGTATTACCGTGCGCTAGTCACCGTGGCGGTGATAGTATTACCGTGCGCTAGTCACCGTGGTGGTGATAGTATTACCGTGCGCTAGTCACTGTGGTGATAGTATTATTACCGTGTGCTAGTCACTGTGGTGATAGTATTACTCATAAAAATGCTATGAAATAGCCACTATTGGTGGTAGATTTGTTATTTTTCTATTCCACTGTTTTTAGAGACATTTAGATCTGGTGAAATCTGTTAAGCAATTCTAGAAGTTTGGGTTTGCAATACTGGGAGTAGGACATGGGGAGAGCTGAATTGCACTGTGCATAGAGAGAGAAGAATTTGGCATGCTGAGAAATCTAGGAGGACAGGAGTAAAGAAAGATAAGGTGAAAGAACCATGAATGAGATAATAAGCTGCTTGTTCAGTATCTCCAGATTGTCTATAAGGTATATTAAGCTTGCAAAGTGCTTGCTATGAGTGGGTTTTGTGGAAACCGAGGCAGGAGCTGAGTTTTGAGTATGGGCTGATGGAGGCAAAACAGGCCACAGCACCGATTGATAGCCAGGACAGAGGACTCCACATGGGCATAAGCCCTATTTCTGGAGAAGGATTTGGGTTTCCCTAAACTATGGCCTGTAAGTCTGAGTCCGAGGCATTGCTTTCAAAATCACACAATATTTTGTGTGGCACAAGAGGTCCTGAGCCTTTGTCTGGGGTAGGTATGATTATGGCTGTATTAAAGATCAAGAAACTGGCCCTCAGAAAGGTCAAGCTATTTACCCAAAGTCATCAGCGGTCAGTGCTGGGGCCAAGATTCAAACCCGTATCTGTCTTGTTACAAAGCTGGTGTTCCCATGGCTACCCCAAAACCATCATTTTCGTTTCTCTGCCACCACCACCACTCTGCCCCAAGCCCATCATACTCTGCCATTCTCACACAGCCAAGCATGGTTTTCCTGCCAGGTCCCAGCACAGACCAAAAGGTGGAGCCACCAGCCCGCAAGAGACCGTCACTGGGGTACGGAGACAGGAAGGCCAAGAAGGCAAGTGCCACGGCACCTCCTGTGGCTTCACCATTCACCTCCACTTCTAGCCAGCCTCTTGCCCTCCCCACCTACAGCCACATGCCTCTCCCACGCAAGCAGGCAGGAAATCCCCCGGGAAAAGAGGCAGGTGGAAAGGGTGGCACCGTCTTTCACAGGCAAAGGGAGCTCATGGTGGGCACCCGGGATGCACTGCAGCAGGAACCCTTTAACAATGGAACCAAGAGCAAGGGCTCCATGGTGGGCCAGACTCCCAAACAGAAGACGGACAGCCCAGGCGCTGCCAAGACCACACGCCACAAGAGGGACCACTCTCCACCACTTCCTCTCAAATAAACAGCAGCGCAGCACTGCCCAGGGCCAGGGCCACAGCACAAGGGCTGCCAAAGTTTCCATTAGGAAGCCCCCCTTTTCTGTGCTGAAAATACAGCTTTCGGAGTTTAGTCTGGGTTGAGACCCCTGCATCATCTTGGGAGCCGGTTTCAAACTGACTTTTCCTTCATTTAGATTCTCCAGGGATAAAGAACTTCCTCACTACCCACTCCCCCAGCACACACCCTTCGCCAAATAACCAAACAAAACTCCTAGTTGTTTAAAGTGGTTTTACTTTTTGTTTTGGATTTTTTTTTTCTTTTTCTTTTCCTGCTATGGAAATCAGAGAACAAATCGCTCCTCTAGGTAGGGCTGGAGACTGGAGTTCTCCATTGTTTACAGGTGAAGGGGCCTATAGGAGTTTCCTGTAATGCTGCTTGTTGGTTCTCCAGCTAACTCCCAGCAGTAGGAGGAGGAGGAAAAGGAGGGGAGGAGGAGGAGGGGGAGAGGGAGACTCCCCTGTTGAAGGTGTCGGCCCAAAGTCCTGGGCTGCCCCGGCTGGCCTCACATTCTCTTTGAGCATCACTTCTTCACCCTGTCCTCCCACAGCTGGCTGGAATACAGAGCTAGGCTTGACCACAGACGAGGGAAACTGAGGCACTCAAAGGGCTGAGATAACTGTGCACAGTCCCCTGGGCTCTGCCTTGGCACAGGAAAAGTCTCCCTTTTCTGGGGGGTCTCTGTTTCCTTCTGCTCTTCACCTCATCCTCAGAGCAAAGCTTTCCCTCTTCCTTTCTCCCTTTGCCCCAAGGCTGGGCACCCACTCTGGACTCCTTTGATTGCTAAAGGAGGAAACTGTCTTTTCTGCTTGGACCCAGGCTCCCCACTTGGACTTGGGGGTGGAATCATCTGGACACCCACTTCTCCCAACCTGATTAACCCATTTATGTCCTGCCATGACGGCTTTCCTTTTCTGTTATCCCACATCAAAGTCTGGACACCCCAAGCCCCTACATTTTGAGCAATGCATCTAAAATTCTCTTAATTCCCTTGTACCCATCTCCTCTGTCACCACAGTCCAGCCCAACCCAGAGGGATGTGCACCGAACCACCACCACAAGCACAGTCCATGTCTTTCTCTGACTCATGTTCTTGGAATGCGTTTGTGTGGAGCATTTCTCACTAACAATCTTTTCCCCGGTGTTACACATTCATTCTAGTTCTGTCCTGCTCTGTCCAGAGGTGAACCCTGCCATCTCTCTGAGCCTCGGACACTTTACCTATACGGCCAGTCTTACATCCATCCCTCATATGGCACCGTCCAGGGCTGGAAGACACCCCTGCACCTGTGTGTCCCTCTGCCACCCACGTTCACGAGGCATATCCTGTGATGGGTTATCCCCAGGGGAACAGAGCCATTATGCAGAGAGTGAAAAACTCCCAAGCCTCCCTCAAATATGAACCCTTGGTTCCCAAGAAAATCCTATCCCTGATTCTCAAGGTGCCAGCCTGTATCACTGGACCCTGTGCGTCTGCCCCTGAGGAAGCCCCTTCATCTGTCAGTAGTGGCCGTTAGCCTCACCTTTTGGACTTCGCAGCCTCACATGCCCACAGACAGCAACCACTATCTGGATTATCTGTAGCCAAGAGGCACATCAGAAATACAGAGGGAAAATACCAAAACCTTAAGAAAAGTATAATAGTAATTAAACAAGGTTTGATGCCTTGAGAGTTGAAAGCATATGTATGTCACACTAAAGCAGCAACCAAATTTCTATCATATAAAGACTGTGCTACTGTGTAGAAAGGCAGTGTAGGGAGTTGCTGATGCTCGATGCCTGACCCTGGCCCGGATCCTCATAAATCAGTGTTTTTGATTCCTGTCCCTCCCACTTCCTTATTAACAAGGATGACCCGGGAATGGAGTGCTTCTTCAGTGGGCATCTATTGTTTTGGCCTGCCCAGCATCCATCCCCCATTCCTCTGGTATTAGCACCATGATTTATTTTCATTTGGAAAAAAAATCACCCCTTTCCTATTGTCCGTTCTTGTAGCTCGGGTGGGGCTGACCCCTTTCCTGGCTCCAGGGCTGGGCAGTGACCCAGTTCTTAGCAATTGACTCAAGTGTTTATAATGACCTAATAAGCTAAGAGTCAATCTCAGGATTTATTTTTTTTTTCCTTTGGTACTGGCAAGGAAGAAATACTTTCATGCTTTATTAGGGTTACTGAAAGGGTAAGCTTTGCAGGCCTAGAGCATCGAGAAGCCATCTTGCCACAGGGAGGAAAGTGTCTGCCCCTGGATCAAGTCATATCTGAAACCCAGACTGCCCCTGGACTTTTCAGTTCTATACATAATTTGAGCCTTGTTTTTTTTTATAACTTCCATCTAACTCCAAACTTTTATTCCTCTTTTACAGATTAAAAAAAAAATCACTTAGAGAAGGTAAGTAACCTTCCAGGTTCCAGGTACCTTCCAGGTACGCTAGCTAGTAGCTCTCAGAGTTTTGATATGAACACAGTCCAACCCTTTTTTTTTTTTTTTTTTTTTTTTTTGAGATGGAGTCTCACTCTGTCGCCCCGGCTGGAGTGCAGTGGTGCAATCTCGGCTCATTGCACCCTCCGCCTCCTGGGTTCAAGCAATTCTCCTGACTCAGCCTCCTGAGTAGCTGGGATTACAGGCACCTGCCACTACACCCAGCTAAATATTTTTGTATTTTCAGTACAGACGGGGTTTCACCGTGTTAGCCAGGCTGGTCTCAAACTTCTGACCTCATGATTTGCCCACCTCGGTCTCCCAGAATGCTGGGATTACAGGTGTGAACCACCACACCCGGCCTGATTCCAAGTCTTAGTTGTCATACTCTACAACCTTCCATTATATTCCTTCCCTTCACTCTATGCTCCAGACCTAACTCTAGTAAACATTTAACAGACAACTATTCTGGAACATGTGGTGTCGCCATCAGGTACCCAAAGCCAGTGACTCCAGCCAGGCTTACTTGTACCACCGTCCATATCCACTGCGCTTTCTTGGTTTCAACTGGAGTTTCAGTTTGGGTTGTGAAGGCCAGGGCTTTCAAACACAGACTTCAAGCCAGCTACAAGGTAAGCATGTTCTGCAAACTGCATTTTACCATTTTTCTTTAGCCAAGAAATTCACATCATTTTCCACCAATTGCATGTTGACCCAGAAGCTCCTGGAGCACTCAGAGAATAAGAACTACCCATGGATGACTGTTTGGCAGAACTGTCTCTTTCAAAGCTGGCTTGGGGCACCATGGTTCCAGCTCAACTAGGGCTGAGGAGCATTTAAAATTACTGAACAAGGTGAGGTGAGACTTCAAAACCCTTACATCCAACTCCAATTAGAACAATCCCATGAAAAGAGAGCCTGAGAAATGCACGGGCCATACCATGTTGGGAATGACTCTCCCTGTTTTCCCCTAGCCCGCAACTAAGAAGAGGCTGAGATAAATAAGATAAGCTTTTCTGGAAGGATAATATAACAAAAGTCCAACAACAAAAAGAATGGCCCCCCAAATGGTGATCTTTAGCAAAGTTACTGGGCTATGGGGAAAGTTCTCCATCTGGAGGTCTAGAGCAATCATTATTTGGGGGATTTTGGGCTTCAAATGATAACTACTCCTAGCCAAATTGTTATAGAATCAACACACAATCATCAGCAAAGTACGGGCTTATGTTTAATCTGCTCACAGGATTACTCTAGAAACTGGGGCCAGATTGAGAAAACTGTCTTTAATCAGAGGCCAAACTAAAGTTTTGGCTGCTGCTGTAGCATTTTGCATTATTCAGATGCCTCAAATGTAACTGTTGAAATAAATGTTCATGCTTAATTGGAATGCAAGGTGACACCACTTGATTTTCATGCTGCTTAGATCCACAGGAAATCCATCAAAAAAGTCAACCATATATGGTAAAGCTACCAGGGCTGATACTTAAATTCATAGCTGGTTCACATCTCTTGCCAAAGCACCAAATACTTTTTCTAGGAGGCCAACAATATAGATTTAACACCTAAAAATAATTTCCTTGACCAAAAGTAGCCTCTAAATCATTGAGAAATATTAATGTATGTATTTTATTTGGAAAGAAATAACAGAAAATATAAAATTAATCCCATTGATTAAAAAGAATTTAAAGTGCCTCCACTGAATCATGAGTAGGACAAAGAAACTCCCAAAATCTTCCAAGAATTTGCTGTATTGCCCTATGACCACTTGGTCATATGCTGGCTTTTGTTAAATTTTTGTTTCATGTTTTCATTGAACTGTTCATATATATACACACACACATATATATACATATCTTTATTTTAATCTATCTATCTATCTATCTTTACTCTTCCTATTTAGATGAAACAGAAAGCGCAAGCCTGTATTCTACAGGTCCTTTGACCCTATGGTGCCTAACTCATGCCTGAGATCACAGAAGGTACTAAACACAAGCAAGCTGTCTGAATCGATGAAAAAATGTTGACTATTCTCCCTTCTCCAGGGTATTCTAGCAATGGTGGTCATGGAGTCTGATGAGTCCCTGGCCTTAGAATTGTGTGGCGAGTGCCTATCTAACAGCGATGCTCCTTTTTCCTTGCAGTTCCCAGGGAAATAGTCCTGGTCAGCCCAAGCCAGTCATGGCAGTAACAGTTTCCTTTGCCAGCAATTTGTCTAAGGGTGAAGACTCATTTCTGCCCAAAAAGATAGAAAGTCCATTGGGAGGCTTCAGGAAATATTTTCCTCCCCAGTAAAAGAGACGGGGTTCTAGGGGAAAAGTCCTTGTTTGCTTCCTTTCCTAACTTTCCTGTTTTAAACACTGTATTTGTGGATATGATGCCTGGAACAGAAGCAGTCATCTCAGGTCCATGGGACAGATTTGAAGACAAAAAGTCTTTGCCAAATCCAAAGATGCTGGAGGGGAAGGACCAGAAGGATGGAAAGAATCTGGGAGCTTGATAAGTTAGCAGCTAAAACTAAGCATAGGATCACCTACCTCCAGATTCCTTACTACAAAAATAGCGTCTGTCCTTATTTCTGGGCCTAAGTGAGGGTTTCTGTTACTTGCAACTGAAAGCATTCTAACTGATTCATATCACCCATGTTAAAAACAGGAGTAATTGTGTCTCCCCTCTTCTAGGAGGGCGTTGTATCTCATCTCTTCTAGGTACGTTATAATTGAGAGAACAGAGGTTCAGGAGCCAAACAGATGCCAGTCAGACAGAGTTCTGGCTGAGTAACCCTGAGCAAGTTTCTTAATTTTCAAAGCTTCAGTGTAATTAACTATAAAATGTAGGTAACAATGAAGACTTCATAAGCTTGCTATCGTAAAAAAATAAAATAATGACTGTATATAAGTCACTTACGCATGCAGTAGGTGCTCAATGTTAACTCCTTACTTTTTTACTTTCCATATAATCCCTGTGTGGAGTAGAAGGGTCAAATTGTGTGAAGGGGAAAGCACACTCCCATGGTAGTATCAAGAAACCTTGATTTGATTTTTCATCATCTTTCTTATTCCAAGACAAGACAAATGATAGGGATTGCTGTCCATGTGGGAGGCTGGAGCTCAAAGAACAGCTTCTAATCAGCAGGCCTGCCTGCGTGGCCTGTATACAGACAAATCCCTCATTTAGGAGCTGTTCTTGCCTTTTGTTGAGCCTGATGCTATCTTTGACTCAGCCTGATCAAACCATCTGCTTAATACCTCTATTCAGAAAGGCCCCCACGTGCTGGGCTTCTTTGGGCCAGGAGGGTCTCTATTTCCCACAACCTGCCCACAGCTAGGAGCCTTTAAAATGTGGACCCAACTACCTCAGTGGGCAGTGATCCCTGAGTGAGTGTGCATCTGCCCTGGCAGCTTCAGGATGGTGTGGGCCTGAGGACAAGCAGCAGGCAGTCAAAGCTGGCTTGCTGGCCACTCTCATGGCCTTTCTGGACACACACCTAGATATGGCCCCCACACACATGTGTGACACACTTTCCTCCCTGGTGATTAGGCACAGTGATCGTCAACCCCTGGAGAGCTGAGAACCTATCTATAGTCACACACTGTCCTTCCTCCTTCCTGAAGGCATGAGGACGATGTTAGCCTAACTCACAAACTCATACTGTAAACCCCCACCACAGAGGCAGTGCAGAATAATGGTTAAGAGCCTCTACCCATAGCTCCAGGAATTACAACTTATGTAACCTTGGCAAGTCACCTAAACCCTCTTGGGCTCTTTTATCTCATCTGGAAAATGAGTATGAAAATAGATTTGTTGTGATAATGTGTATAATGTGCTTAGCACTGTCCTTAGCATGTGGTACCCAATCAATAAAATGGACTCTCCCAGGCCACTTGTATATTAGGAAGGGATCATCTCCTCCTGCCGAAGGACAATCCTAAGGCATGGCCCACCCAACCTGCCATCTTAATTGGCTATGGCTCATAAGATCAACATTTACACTAGTCCAAAATATTTGTCAGATATTTCCTATGTGTGGGCATTTGGGATCCAGCAGCAAGGATCTTTGAGAGGTTACAGTCTAAGGAAAGAAACAAACTCAGAGACAAAATCATAGTCATGAATTGTAAATCCCATCAAGAAAAAGAGGGAGCTGTGAGAAGGAGTACAAAGTGAGCAGCAGGAGTGGGAGTATCATTTTACTGAAAGTCAGATAAGACCTCCTGCTGAGAGAATGGCATGTAACTTGTAGGGACTCAGTGTCCCTCACATAAATGCTAGAAGGAAAATATATTGTCCTCGGGCCAGAGGTGGCACTAGTAGCAAGACAGGTTCTCAAAGCACAAGATGAAGAGATCTCCTGGTATGGTGGGGCCCCACCAACCTTGCTTCCTTAGGGACAATGTGCCCTGAAATTATAACCACCTCCAGAATGTGCCTGGGCTCAAATGCCTCACCTTGCACCCTTGTCCCCCTCTAAGTGCCCTGAATTGTCTCATAAATCATCTAGTCCCACAGCACTTGGCAAAGTAGCACTGGGGTTTGATGACCGTATTTTCCACGTAGTCTTGGAATTCAGGCTACTTAGTATTGAAGCTCAAAATAATTTTCTGCTAGATTTACTCACACTGTTCCACTCTGCAGGTTAAACTCCTGTCCAGGTTGCTTTTCAGTGAAACCACTTTTAGAGATTGTTTTTGTTCTACCCCAATTTTCTGGAGTCATTTAAATTCAAGGGACCTCTTAGAAGATCGCAGATTATATATACATACCTACGTATAAAGACAGAGAAAGATCCCTGTGAAAGTCATTGTCCAGAATCACATTGGCTTTGCTTTTCCTTGTTTTCAATTACAGACTCATGTGCTGTGGAACATTACTAAAGCACAGTGTGCATGGCACATTTCCAACATTTTTCATTTGCTTTCCTGCTGTCTTCCATTTCCCTACTTGATTTCCAATGTGAGAGTGATGTGGTGCCACTGTGTTTTTTGCCCAAAGCTTTGTGCAGGTAATAGCTTCCCTCCCCCATCTCTTTAAATCCATTTCTATTAGGTTCATGCTTCTCCTTCACTTGAAGTTATTCCCAATCTCTGCTCCTGGGCTCTTCTAACCTCTTTGTAGTTGGTCACTGATGCCTTCATCAATTTCTAAGAACCATTCATTTGCATTCATTCAGTGCTTAATGAGCACCTACTATGTGCAGGCCACTGGGCTGTGGGAATACAAAAATGATTACCACCTACTGTTTGTTATTCTTCTGTGATCTAAGGATCACATAGTCTCTGGTGGGAGCAGGCAGGTAAACAGGTAAGTACAAGTCGTTACATTAGTTACCGCAGATTGAAGAGTGGACAGAATATTGTGGAAATAAAGAAAAGGGAAGGATTAATTCAGCCTTGAAAGATTAAAAATAACATCACAGAACAAGCATATCTGAGCTGTATGTGAAAGGGCTTTCTTGCTGAGCAAACAGCTTGTGTAAATATGAGTGTTCAGAGAATGAGATATGGTTCATACTGGCTAGAGCACAGTACAGGGTGGCAAGGGGAGATAGTTAGAGACAAAGATGAGAGGAGTTTGGTAAAGGTTGGTTAGGGCCAAAATACAGGTCAACTGAACAGTTGACTGTAACTGACTATAAATATTAAATAAATGAAAATCCACACGCTTGTAGTGACAGTAAAGAAATCATGCCCTTTTTGAGACCACTGGAGGTTATTATTATACCAACTTCCGATGCTGAAAATTGGTGATTAAAGGGAAGGAATTAAGTCTTTACACTGCCTTTTTAGGAGAAAATGTAGTTCCTTGCCAGACGATGAGGGAAAGACCTCCCTTATACCAGAATACCACCTAAAGCACGTAGTAAGAATGACAGGATTATAAAATCACCATTTTGCAACTGACAGTGAAATATCTGACGTGGGCAAAAACCATCAATGGCTGCTAAAACCTTGGGATGAAAAGTTTTAGGAAACATAATATTCTCCCAGTAACAGAGAACCATCTAGAAATTACCTGCTAACTGGAAAGGGAAAATGCATCTTTACAAAAGAGAGACATGGTGATCACCATCTTAACCAAAAGATCAAACTAATGGTACAAACGTGGGACAGCCTCTCACTGTGCACCTTCTGATGTGACACATATGAAGTACACAGCTTCATTAGGTAGTATCTTAGGTAGTTTCAACGGCATCTTTAGTTTAAAAAAAGAAAAAATGGAGATAGAGGAAAAAGTTAAAACCAAGAAGCAGCAATTGGACAAATCTAGAGTATGGGGCATCCTACAAGACAACTGCCCTAACTTCTTCAGAAAGTCAATGTCATGAGTGGGAAAATTTTAAAAGGTGGGGGGGGATTATCTTGATTTTAAAAAGACTAAAGAGATGTAACAGTCAAATGGAATGCCTGAATATTATTAAATCCTGATTGTGAAACGAACACGATAAGATAACCTTGGGAACAATAGAGACATTTAAAGATATTTAAATATGGACTGGATACTAGATGGTATTTGGGAACCAATTTCTAGTCTTATAATGATCTTGTGATTATGTGGGAAAGTATCTTTTTTTTTTTTTTTTTGAGACAGAGTCCCACTCTGTCACCCAGGCTGGAGTGCAGTGGCACGATCTCAGCCCACTGCAACCTCTGCCTCTCAGGTTCAAGTGATTCTCCTGCCTCAGCCTCCCAAGTAGCTGGGATTACAGGCGTCTGCCACCATGCCCAGCTAGTATCCTTATTTTTAATGAGATGCACGCTGAGTATTTAGGGATGAAGCATCATGCAACTAATTCAAATGGTCCAGCAAAATATATATACACACACATAAATAGACAAACTAAATATGTCTGAAAGTTCACAATAACTGGACTTAAGTTGTAGGTATACAGGTGGTCATTGTACTTTTCTGAATATTTGAAAGTTTTCATAATAAGGAAGTTTGAAAGAAACAAAAGGAAAGGGCACATAATGGAGGGCTTGTTATGAGCTCCTTGGGATTCTGGATCCTACTGCTGAAGGTTTCAACCAGTGGTTGATATGATCAAATTTACATTTTAGAAAGCTCATTGATGTATTGCATTTACTCAACCAGTATTTATTGATCACCCATATCAAATGTTGAGTGAACCCTGAGGTAAGTGCTGTGGGAGATACGAAAACCAAAAAGGCATCATCTGGCAGAAAAGCATTTACCATGTAATAGAGGAAATGAGACACAAAACACTAAGCACAAAGTAAAGCTTTCTTGTCACAAGGGGTAACTGGGAGACCTGGGGGGGAAAGGCAGATGCACGGTGCCTCCAGGTGTTATCTGGTATTCAACGTCCACAAAATTATCTCAGAAAGCATAAAACTACAGGTGACTGAAAATCACCTGTCAGCTCTAGCCCCTTGAACTTTCCTTATTTCTAGATGGCAGAACTCTAACCCCATGAGAGATACTGGAAAATGCAAGTTTTCCTTGAGGTAGGGTGTAGGAATGTGACCCATTTCTGACCCAAGGGACCTGACTTAGGTCTCCTGAAATCTACCAGGGACTACTGACAAAGATCTTCTTTCCTGATAAAAACAGACATGTAAGAAGGCCCCCTCCTCCTCCTCCTTTCTTCCCACCTCTGAGTGCAGTTGGGTGAGGTTGCGATGCTTGCAGCTGGAGAATCGTGAGGGGAAAGCCAAGGGAAAGAAAGAAAAGATGGCAGACTCAGATCCCTAATATCATTAAGCCTCTGAAGCCTACAACCTGACAACCTCCCGTTACCAGACTTCTTCTTAAAGAAGCAAAATTTCCCCCTTTCCAACTCATTTATATGCAGTTGTTGATATATACGGCCCAAAACCGCACTCAGTCCTCATCAGCAAGCATACTATGTCTACAGCCAATCCTAACCTTTGAACAATGCAGTTGAAGGAAGACTCACCCACCGAATCAAGTCGGTCCTGCCCCTAGTTATGACCACACGCACGCTGTAGTTAGGGATGGTAAAGAAGTTTCACATTCATATGCCAACTCAGATTAATTGGCAGCAACTGGATAATCTGCTGTGCAGAAAGTTAAATACAGGTTCTGTGGAAAGTGTCTAGATTCATAGTGTCAGACATCTGCCCTGGGCCACATGCTTACCGTCCCATGGATGGATGGAATTTGGAATCAGAAGACCCAAGTTTATAAGTCCTGGCTCTACTACTTTTGTGATTTTGGTCATTTAACCTCTTTGAGCCTTCTTATGGGATAGTTGTTATAATCAAGATAATATAAGTAAATGTGCTTTATTAACCATGAAGTGTCACACAGATGGTAGTTACTTTGTCTTATATTTGTCAAACCTCAGCTGAGGACCAGGTTGACAAGACGGAGGGAGAGAAGGAATTCAAGGCTCGAGCCCTGGATGACCAGTAGCTGAACACCTGACAGGAGGGTCTAAGTCCGGAGTTTCAGGTGAAAGTGAATGAGCAGTAGTGAGCTGTGATCCTGAACAGTGAAATATAGTTGGAGAAGATTCCAAAAGCAGAAGTGAAGACACTAAGGGCAAATAAAGATAGAAACCATGGACTGGATAGCCTACACTCCACTTTTTTATTGTCCCAACACCTGACGGATATGACCCTACTCATCAGTTACAGTGGCTCCCCGTGACTAAGGACTTCTCTGAATCTTCAGAGGGGCAAGCAAATTTGCCAAATTTCCCACCCTAGGTGGTTCTAACATGCCTCCCTAGGGCAGTGTGTCTCTTTCCTCTGTTGCAAACCACTATAGTAGACTAGAATAAAGAAGCCCAAAGTGCAAGAATAGACAGTCCAAAGCTGGTAGAGATCTTTGGTAAGCTCAGGGTGGCAGGACCATTTTATTTTTCTCTCCCCGCTCACCTATGGCCTAGCACAAACTTACCACATTTCAAAAAAAGCCCAGGAGGTAACAGTTAAAAAATCAGAAGAGGCCTTTTTATAATAAAAGTCAACGCTAAAAGGGGTCCAAGGGCTCTTAAGATAACTAGAATGACCCAAGAGGCCCTCCCTCTCCAGGTTATGGAAGGCCTGAGTCCCTTGTGAAGTCTTACCTAAAGGCCAAAGGTGAGGGAGGCTTCCTTTAGCCCCCTCTTCAACCCACATGGACCTAAAGCATTCACCAGCCCCATGCAGGAAAATGGAAAAAAGGAGATTGACTATCAATCTCTTGACGGTGAAAAGGTGAAAGCTAAGAAGAGATTGAAACCTATGGTGGGTGGG